CTCCTTCTCCTCAACAGCAAGGAAACTTTTCATATTCCATCTGACTGGGTAAATTTTTTGGCAGTTAATTTCTTATCAGCAGGAAAGTTTGATTGGGCAAAGACTTTTGTTACCTCCAAAGTATGGACTATCATTGTACAAGGATCCACTTGTCCTACCTCTCTGCCTTTTGTTATCCCTGAGAAATGCCCAGGTCCTGTCAATCTCACAGGCTCTTCATTTCTGTCTGAGCAGGCCACCTCTACAGAAGCTGACCCAACCGAAGTGACATCTGCCTCCTCCACTTCAGGGTTGCAAAACAAGAAAAAGAGGAAGGAGAAAATCCCACTGGTTGACACAGAGGTAAGGAGAAGTTGTAGACTCCTAAAGCTAGCTAAGGGTTATAAACAATCAGTATGTTTGGATAAAGATTGGCTTGCTTGTTCTACTAAGCCATCCACTATCTCTGCTAAAGTGGTTAAAAGTCTGAATACCTCTTTCTGCAAGGTGACTGACAAAGACACCACTAAAGAAATCATGTCCAAAAATCCCAAGAAGTCCAAGGGTGCATGCTCACTGCAGGAGGGAAGCAAGAACTCCAAGGAGCCTGGGAAGAAATGGATATAACTCCATTCCCTCTTTTTCTCAGTAGTAGCCTTGTGGGTGCTGAACTGGCTGCTACAGTTAGTATCCAGTGGGTGGTGTTAACAAAATATTTTTGTAATAGACTTCTCATATCTGCTGCTATGTGTATCAGTATGAACTTTGGAACAGTTCTGTTCTTTTGGGGGACTATGGAAAAGGGGCCATGCTTTTATATGTATAAGATGCTACTATCTCCTATGTATGACTGTTTGATGGGCTCCCTGCAAATTTCTGTTATAGTTCTGCACTTCTACTCATCATGAACAAAGAATGGAATATCCTAAATTGGAATATCAGAGGCATTAATGACCCCAAGAAATGGACTGCGTTTAATAACAAAATTGAAGTCTCAATGTGCTATTGTATGTCTTCAAGAAACTAAAAGAGAGACTTTTGACAGTTCATATCTCAAGAATTTCTGTCCAAGGAGGATTGGTAAATTTGAATATCTTCCCTCTGTGGGAGCGGCAGGTGGTATGCTTGTTGCATGGAATGAGCATATCTTTGGGGGGGGGGGCAGGTTATTCACAGTAACAGCTATGCTCTCTCTATCCAATTCACCTCTAAGCACAATGGGGAACAATGAATTCTCACCAATGTATATGGGCCATGTGAATCTCAAGAGAGACTGCTTTTCATTGACTGGTTCAAAAACTTTCACATTCCAGATGATAAGAGTTGGATTATTTTGGGGGATTTTAACTATATCAGATATCCTCATGACAGGAATAGAGGGGATGGTTGCATTGAGGACATGCTCACATTTAATGAGGCCATTAATAAACAAGCTTTGATTGAAGTTCCACTTAAGGGCAGAAACTATACCTGGAGTAGCATGCAAGATGCTCCATTGTTGGAAAAGTTGGATTGGTGTTTTACTTTAGAATCATGGACCTTACAATATCCTTCCACATTTGCTTACCCATTGGCCAAGACTACCTCTGATCATGTGCTCATCAACATTAAAATTGGCTCCTCTATCCCTAGATCCAACATCTTCAGATTTAAATTTTTTTGGATCAAACATCCTCAGTTTAAAGAGGTGGTCAAATCTATCTGGTCACAAGATGTGAATGAGTTGGATAGTGCTAAAATTATTGCGGCCAAATTCAAGAGATTAAGAAAAGGGCTTAAGATTTGGGCCAGACAACTCTCTGACATGAAAAGTACTATTGCAGATACTAATTTCCTTATACTCTGCTATGATCATTTTGAAGAATTCAGACCACTCACCACAGAGGAAACAAATGGGAGGAAAATCCTTAAGGATCATATTGCTCAGCTACTGGATCATCATAGAATTTATTGGAAGCAGAGAGCTACCATTAGGCAAATTCAGATGGGGGAGGCAAATACTAGATATTTTCAAGCCAAGGCCACCATTAAACACAGAAATAATTGTATTGCTATGCTCATAGATGAATCTGATAATGAATTTCATGATCACCAGGCCAAGGTTGCCATCCTGTTCAGAGCTTTCAGAAATAGGTTGGGAACAAAAGTACCTTCTGAAAATCCCCTCAATCTTCATGAGCTGCTGCATCCTCCAGTTGATCTAGCAGAGCTAGAACTCCCATTTACAAACAAGGAGATTGATGAGGTGGTCAATCATATGCCATCAGACAAGTCACCTGGGCCAGATGGTTTTAATGCTGCTTTCCTTAAGTCATGTTGGGATATTGTGACTGCGGATTTTTACAGACTCATTCATGATTTCTACAATGGCAATGTCAATATACAAAGCATCAATTACTCCTTTATCACTCTCATCCCCAAAATTGATGTTGCAGCTAGACCATCTGATTTTAGACCCATCTCTTTGCTCAACTGCAGACTCAAGATCATTACCAAGTTGCTGGCAAATAGATTGCAGAAAGTTATCCTAAATTTGGTCCACACCAACCAGTATGGTTTCTTAAACAATAGATGCATCCAGGATTGCCTTGCATGGTCTTATGAATATATCCACCAATGCTTCCATAGTAAAAAAGAACTGGTCCTATTGGAGCTTGACTTTGAGAAGGCATTTGACATGCTTAATCATGAGACCATCATTCAGATCATGAGAGCTAAAGGTTTTGGTCCAAGGTGGATTCACTGGATACAAATGATCTATGGGTTTGGGTTTCCTCTGTACTTCTCAATGGAGTTCTAGGTAAATAGTTTCTCTATAAGAAGGGTGTTAGACAAGGTGATCCATTATCACCCCTCATCTTTGTGTTTGCTGCTGATCTTCTTCAATCCATGATGAATGAAGCCATGCACAACAATTTAATACAATCTCCATCGGTACATCATTCATGCCCTGACTACCCTATAATTCAGTATGCTGATGACACTATTTTGGTGGCCAATGCTGATAGCAGGCAGCTGGAACATATCAAAAATCTCCTACTCCACTATGCTGCATACACCGGGCTCAAAGTAAACTACTCAAAGTCAACTCTCATTGCTATCAACATCCCCATGGACAAGATGAACACACTTTCTCAATTATTGGGCTGTCAAATTGGAACTTTGCCACACAAATATCTAGGTCTTCCTTTGTGTCATTCTAAGCCCAAATTGTGGATTTTCTCCCTATGTTACAAAGGATTGAATCAAGGCTACTGAGCTGCTCTACCTTGCTATCAACTGGTGACAAATTGACCCTCATCAAATCTGTCTTCACCAGTATGCCCACTTTTTTCATGTGCACTCTTTGGATCCCTAAAACAGTGGTCAAGCAGATCAATTCTTATCTCATGAACTATTTTTGGAGAAAATTTGGTACCCAGGATAGAGGAATGGTTCTGGTTTCTTGGGATAAAGTTTGTCAGCCCAAATCTCATGGTGGCCCGGGAGTCCTTGATTTATATAAGCATAATCAGGCTCTGCTCATGAAATTCTTGCACAAATTCTTCAACAAAGATGACACACCTTGGGTCAGGATTATATGGGAAACATATTATCAAGATGGTCTGCCATGTAACAAATTGGTGGGCTCATTCTGGTGGAAAGGCATTCTGCAGACATTGCCTGAATATAAGAAGCATTCTAGATGTATTCCAGGAAAGGGGGAGACTATTCTGCTGTAGCACGACAATTGGTCGGACCTACCACTTCATCTAAAGATGCCTGAGCTCTATTCTTTTGCCATCAACAAAGATATCACACTGAAATCAGATGCATGAACACCAGGCACTGGAGAAGTGCTTCCACCGACCTCTCTCACAACAAGCGTTTACTCAATTCAACATCCTTCAAGATCAACTGCATGGTCTGACTCTCACTGATGACTCTGATAAGTGGACATACACTTGGGCCTCACCAAACTACTCTGCAATGAAGATGTACAAACATCTGTTTGCCAAGAATGGGGCTCACTTCATCTTCAGGCAGCTATGGAAATCGAATTGCAGACTAAGACACAAGATTTTCTTCTGGATGCTACTCTATGACAGAGTTAGTACAAGGAACATGCTACACAGAAAAAACATGTATTTGCCAGACTACAACTGTGCTCTTTGCTTGGACAGGACACAAGAAACTTTAATTCACCTGTTCTGGGACTGCCACTTTGCATTAAACTGTTGGAACTGTATCCTCCCAAACAAACAGAGTGGTATTTCGACCTACGATGAGATTGGAATGATGATTACGCTTCTTCCCCAGGATTTGGCTATGGAGATCATTATCATGGGCTGCTGGGCCATCTGGATGGTCAGGAATGTCAAGATTTTCACATCTTCACCTCCTAGTTTGAACTCCTGGAAATTCTATGTTCAAGAAGGCATTCAACACATCAAACTCAGATCAAAGGAAGCCAAGGCCGCAAAGATAGACCAGTGGATTGAACAGACTCTGTAATTCTTTTTATTATGATACCTAGAACATGCATTGGGTGATTTGTTGTGTGGTCTTGTACTTTGTACTTTGTTTATATTATATAAAATACCGTAGAACAATTGTTCTACGGTCACAGGGTCAAGAAAAAAACGATAGCCTAGCTTAATGTATATATGTGCCTTTTCATAGTGTTAATCACTGAAACCCCGTATGCTTTTTTAGCTTGTGGGTCGGATCCAGATAAAAATGCCCAAGGTTAATAGTAAATTCATTCGCAAAACAAAGTAGATTAATTAATGTTGTATGGAGCGGAGTGGCTCATGAGATGGGTCGCCATCCTGATGTAGATGGATGACTAGATATGGCTGTGTTTGGCGACACGAAACGACCACGCAGGTCAGTCGCCCACTCACTCGCTCTCCTCTCATCAATCCCAACAGTTCACGTAACTCCGTCCAACTTGTGATGGGTCTCTCTCCAGCTGCTCATGTACTTACAAGATATGTGTTCATATCACAGGATCAGGAGCACTAGCTAGCGTAGAAGCCATGGTCTCCGGCGGTGGCCAGGCCCAGGCGCCGTCGTCTGCTCCGGCGGCAGAGTACGGCAGCACGCTGCCGCAGATGGTGGACGATGAGAGGAGCTACAAGTCGCATGGGGAGCTCATGCTGCTGCTATTCGTCGTCGTCTTTGCGCTCCTCTTCGCTTCTGTCTTCTTCTTCCTCTGGTTGAGACGAAGGAGGGACCGCCGGCGCTGACCGGACGATGGTTCAGGACTTCATGGTTGTGTCTTCGTGGATCATCTGGCGCGACCGATAGATCTTTTACTTTTACTACATCCAGATCCAGCCACAAATTTGTACGTACCAGTTTGGAGCTTTATTAATTTGAATTTGAGCGTAATCTCTCTCTAAAAACAAATTTAAACCTTGCATAGTTTGTAGTTAGGACTGTTCTTGCGTTACTAAAGCCAGTCTAATTTCATTCCGTTATCACGTTGGCCTATTAGCTCAGCTGGTTAGAGCGTCGTGCTAATAACGCGAAGGTCGCAGGTTCGAGACCTTCATGGGCCATTATTTTTTTGCTGCATGTTCTAGCCACAATTTTCGACCTCATATGTGGAATTTTTTTTTCATTTGTTTCAAGCCATTACACACAAAAACATGATCAAACCAGCAGTCAGTGAACAGCCTGCAGGTACCAACTCAGCAGTTGCTATTCGCTGCATGTCTGCTTACTCACTAACACCGTTCTTTTTTTACTGAGAGCTACGCAAATGTCTGTCTGAACAAGCTGAAAATTGAAATGGACCTCACGCATTCAAACATTTTTCATGCAAAAAGAAAAAAACTCAGATGAGCTCGGGCTCAAAAATGGATTCCTGTGTTTCGCCACAAACGAAGCCCATCAGGCTAAGACAAGAAGAAGACAAACCAAATCTAACCAGGCACCTCATAATTTCTCAAAGAAAAAAGCCCTCATAATTTCTCAAAAGGAAAAAGGAAATCAGGCACTTCATCATGAAAATAATAGCTCAAGACTCAGCCTGCAAATCCTTTTTTACATTACCACGGTGGTCGATTGGTTTTGATACTTATATCGGCTGGCACAAACGAGGAAATAGCCAAAGTTCACAGTCACTGCCACAGCCACGGTCCAGTACACGTTGTCCAGCCTCGCCTGGTTTACGTTCCCCGGCAGCCACGCCGTGACATGCCTCACCACGTCGACGAACACCGTGCTGAGGTAGAACCCCATGGCGATGAGCAGCGGCGCCATGGCCGTCGCCAAGCTCCGCAACGTCTTGGGGAACTCCAGATAGTAGAAGGCCATGTTTCCGGGGAAGTGGAGGGCCTCCCCGATCCCCACGACACCAAGAGGGAGCAGGAGCCACAGTACGGACATGGGGGTGACCCAGCCGGCCGGCGCATCGGCGCCGCCGTGCGCGTGCACGACGCTCAGTCTTCGGCGCTCCACCAGAGCCGCGACCACCATGCCCGCAATGTTCACGACGTGGCCGAGCCCCACGCGCTGCAGCGGCGACGGCGGCATGCCGGTGATCCTGCGCCAGAGCGGGAAGACGGCACGGTCAAGGACCGGGGTCACGGCGATGAAGGCCACGAGCGAGCAGACGGTGATGGATCCTGCTGGGATCTTGAAGCGCGGTCCGAGCGAGCGGTCCATGGCGAGAGCCTGCAGGATGATCATGCCGATCATCACCCCGATGGACACGCTGAGCATTATACCAGACGACCACAGCGGGAGGACGCCGAGCAGAGACTTGAGATCCTCCACTTGCTGCACCCTGCACAGCCGCCAGCCGCTTGCACAACGGCCGCCAGACGCATCATCAATGGGGTCCTCGGTGGCGGTGATCATGGCGGCACGATTAAGAAAGCTGCAAGCAAGATGCCATGAACACGAGTGGTCAGCACGTACCAACGCTACTCATCTTTCTTCCAGAAATTGGAATACGGGAATGCCGCCAACCTTAATCGTTTGCTTGGAGCGCCCTCGCCGGCCGAGTCCACGACAGCATTGTCTCCCACGTAGTACGGCACGGGACCTAGCGCGCCGACATGGACGCGAGCCTTGCGCACGGCGGCCACGACGACGCGGGCCAGCTCGGAGTATGGGCTGCCGTTTGGCGCGGGCATCCGGTAGTACCGCGCGCCGAGGAGAAACAGGACCAGACTGAACGCCGTCGCGGCGAGGCAGATGGCGAAGCCCAGGGCCCAGGACACGCCGTCCTGGATGTAGACGATGGCCGTGTCGCCGATCAGGAAGGAAGCGTAGAGGAAGACGAAGTACCAGTTGAAGAAGGTGTCCTGGTCGCGCGCGCCGCCGAACTGGTCCGCGCCCATCGTGGCCACGTTGAAACGCGTCCCGCCGGTGCCGATGGCTAGAAGGGACACCGCGGCGTACAGCACGGCGAGCTGCCCGGCCGTTCCGCGCTGGCACACGGCGGACGGCGCCGGGCAGTACGGCGGCCGCAGGGACGGCAGGGCCGCTGAGAGAGTGAACAGCACGAAGGACTGGAAAATGACATTGGATGGGCACGTAATTAATTATTAACAGTGCTCTAAAAAACAAGCACTAATTGAATAAACAATTGTTCTTTTTTTGCGGCAAGAATAAACAATTGTTCAAGAGAGAATATCACATCGAAACCAAGCTGAGATAAAATTTTGTGGAAAACCACTTTGAAAGTTTTGGAAAATTTTGAAAAAAAAGGATGTTGTGGATGTTCTATTGCATGCGAAATTCCAAGTTCAAACACATTACTGGAGCTATGAAAAGAGCAAATTCAGCAATGAATATCGATGTTTAATTGTTGCACGACGCTATTCAATGCTGTTTTTTTTGTACCATGTAAATGATAATGTGTTCGGGAATTTCACATGCTCTTAACATTCTGTTTTTCTTTTTCCTTTTTGAGATTTTTTTTGAAACTTCAAAATATCACTTTCACGTGGTTTTCACCGGTTTCCATCAAAACTTCGTTTCCATGTCATATCCGCTATAAATGGCAATGCTCAAGAATTGTTTTATGTAGAACAAAACTGATGTGCATATGATGTTTTGAAGTCTGATTTTGATACGACACCACTGTGAGCCACACGATGAAATCCGTACCAATTGTTTTTGACACATCGTAATAAAGATGATGCAATCCAACGGTGCACGTGATCCATCGTACTAACTAGTGTTAGATTGAAATGGTCGCACTGGTAACAAATCGTTGGTTGTTCCCCCGCAAAATAAATAAATAAAAATCATTGGTTGTTGGAAATGAAAGGAGCATACCCATGGACGTTGTTGCCAGAAACATAATTGATATTGTTAGTTGTCAACGTCATCGCATCAATGTCAAGTGGTCTTGTTTGTATAATTACGTGTGGTTGTTTTGTGGAGAGAGTGAGACATGACAACTACTAAGTCTATAATGTCTACTGGTATTGATTTCAAGCTTTAATTATGTGTGTTGCACATCAAACAATACTCTATATCTATACTTCTTCTAAAAACAGAAGTGGTGATTTCACGTAACTAATCCCATCCATATTGGCATTGGCGTAAATTATGAAAACCTGCTCCCTCAACCAAATTTTGCTCGTTTATGAGAAACAAAAGTTGAGCTTTGGAATTGTGCATTCAAACCATGAGAAATGAAAGTTAAGCAGTTCCAAACATGAAGTTTTATTACTCACCAGAATATTTATGTAACCCGCTTTACAAATAAACCACATCGCGTTCTACCGCCAACATGATGGTCCTTTCCTTAAGGCTCTCAATTTTTTGAAACCCGCTACGAGCTACTTTGTTTCTTCACATGTCCTATAAACATGAACTCTAGTGCGAGTGGTAAAAGGTACGCTCACCTGGCAGCCATGTGGATGGACTTTTTTCCCCCTCCTAAACCATTTTTGGCCTCATTGTTGCATAAATGAGTTTATAGTCTAAATCTGATCATTTTTTTGAGTTTTTAGCTTAAATTGTGCAAATACTTTGAGTTAATGGATTAATGAGATATTTCACTCTTTTATCATTCAGCTAAAGAGTTTCTTTCATGCTTCCGAGGCTACTTTTTAGGCATGTTAGTCATTTGATCAACAATGAGATAAATCACCTAGACAAAATGATATCAAACCTAATCCATACAGGTAGTTTGCTACGCACTACCTACGTCCGATAATGTAAGATGTTTTTCAGTTCATATTGAACTGTGAAAACATCTTATATTATGAGACGGGAGGAGTATTTGCTAAAGGATTATAGTGGATCTGCTCCAGCCTATGCACTACTTCAAATTCCAAAATGTATACTGCAGTCTGCACAAGCTTTGAACAGAGGAAGCACGTCACGTGCACGCACGCACCAGAACGTTGATGGCCGCGCCGGCGAGGATGACCGGGAAGCAGCCCAAGTAGGAGTCGGAGAGGATGGCTCCGGCGACGGGGACGAGGTTGAGCGAGCCGCGGACGATGTTGGCGATCTGCGCCGCGTCGATGCTCTCCACGTTGTACTCCTTGATGAGGTAAATCTGCAGGTTGCTGGTGGTGCCGTTGATGGCCAGCCCCAGCCCAACCATGCTCCCTGCGTGCATGCTCACACAAAACACACGCATGTACACATGTTTTTTCCCCCTCGGGAGAGAGTTAATTGTGTGGGGAAGAGAGGAAATGAGGGAGAGATCACGAACCAGCTATGAAGGGGAGGGTGATCCATCCTCCTTGCTTCGCCTCTCCTTTCGCTTGCCTTTCTTCTTCTTGGTCTGATGGCTTGGGCTGAGATCTCGGCGAGCTCTCCATCTCTGCTTCTGCCATTGCTCCAAGCTTGGTGTCCTTGAAGTACATGGATTGTGCTACGCGTATATAGCTGTATATGTACCAAATGGAAGGTGCCTTGCTGGGTTTGATAGGTTGTTAAGAAAATAAATTTTGTTCTTTTTTTATTTTTTCTAATCAAAATCAAGGCTGGGCCTGGACATTAATTCGTAACAATGATTTTGAAGGGTCTTGCGTCTAGACACATGGGCTACTTATACAACTTGCGTGCAAGTTCATTCGCAGAAAAATAAAACATGTTTGTAAGTTAAAGGCCAGAGTTCCTTACCACATACTCTCATTCTTCTTAAAGCCGCCCCATTTAAGAAACCGCAGTCAAGTTCTTTTCAACCGTTGTCCAGTTAGCATTTTTCTTGAATTCTCAAACAAAGAGTATTTTTTTTCTTCAAAAGAGCACGGATCTATTGAAA